TGTGTTTTTTGGGGGGGGGGGGGGAGTTTAGAGCTGACAAAGGTATTCTGTTGTTGAACAGTACAGAAGAGGTTGCAAGGAGATGGAAAAGATGGGAAGGCGTTTTAATTGAAATCGCTTTCCGAGGTTTGGTAAGTGATAGTGTATGGATCCATCGCCTCCAGGAAATCGTTTCTTCCAGTGTATCGGAGTGGATACCTAATCGACTTGACAAAATTATTCGGTTGTTGTTGTTGGATCCGATGGGTGGGTAGAAGTTGTATAAATTAACAGTAAATTGAAGAGGAAGGAAGATGAGAATGGCGGGGTACAGCGAAGAAGGAGGAGCGGGTTCACGCTACGTGCAACACCACCACCACCATCATCAACTTCTGAATCCTGAACTGCATCTGGACACGCCCTCCTCCTCCTCTATTCCATTTCCTCATCCTCATCTATTCAACCATTCCAATCACTCCGACGATGGTGATGATAATAATGATACTAATAATAATACTAATCCCTCTCAAAACCAACACGCCTCCCTTCGCCGCCCTCGTGGCCGTCCTCCTGGATCCAAAAACAAGCCCAAGCCTCCCATTATCCTCACTCGCGATAGTCCCAACGTCCTCGGCTCTCATGTCCTCGAGGTCTCCGCCTCCGCTGATATCGTCGATAGTCTCTCCAATTACGCCCGCCGCAGAGGGAGAGGACTCAGCATCCTCTGCGGCACTGGTACTGTCGCCAACGTCACGCTCCGTCACCCATCTGCCTCTCCTACGGCTAGCGTCATCACTCTTCATGGCAGGTTCGAGATTCTCTCCCTCACAGGCACTGTGCTTCCCCCGCCAGCTCCCCCGCAGGCAGGTGGACTGTCTATATTCCTAGCCGGGGCACAAGGGCAGGTGGTTGGAGGGACGGTGGTGGGGCCCTTGGTGGCTTCGGGGCCGGTGATTTTGATGGCGGCGTCATTCTCCAACGCTGTGTTTGAAAGGTTGCCTCTGGAAGAGGAGGAGGAAGGGGGAGTGCAAGTTCAACCGACGGCGTCGCAGTCGTCGGGAGTGACCGGAGGCGGACAGATGGGGGAGGGCGGTGGGAATCCAAACGAGGGGAGCGGCGGCGGAGTTGGGTTCCTGGGCAACAGTACAATAGCGGGATATCCTCCATTTGCAGGGGATTTGTTTGGTTGGGGAAGTGGAAGTGGAAGTGGGAGTGCCACAAAGCCTCGTCAGTTCTAATGTTTAATTAATGGCGATTAGGGTTTTTAGTTTAATATAATATGTGGTGTTGTGTTGAATGTTGTAATAATTAATGAAGAAGAAGAAGAAGAAGAAGAAGAAGAAGAAGAAGAAGAAGAAGATGTCGATGGTTGGTTTGTGTGGTTTAAGAAGTGCGGTGCTTCTGGTTGGTCACAGATTTGGAGGCGGTGAGTGAAGATAGGATGGAATGAATTAGTTGATCTCCTTTTCCGTTCCAGCTGCTTTGCTTTCTCTTCTTACTTTCACACCTTTCTTCAATATTCCCAGTAGTGAGGGTTGTGGAGTATGAATTTAATTTACACACAATTTGGTTGCTTTTTTGTTTTTGTTTTCAGGGTTTGTGTCATGCCTGTCATAAGCAATACAGAACTAGGGTTTCTTTCTCTCTCTCGCTCTCTCTCGCTCTCTCTCGCTCTCTCTCTCTCTATATATATATATATATTATATGCTTTCCTTCCACAGTTTCCAATACACAGATACCTCCTGTTTGCAGAAAACCCCAATTAAGGACTGGGTTTGTTTTGTTATTCAATAAAAAGTTCTTGGGTGTTAGAATAAAGAGAAGCTGCAGGTTGCTCTGGCAATTAGGTCAACTTTGTGCATTTTCATATTTCGGAATTGGAATAACTTCACTTTCACTCGCCTTTAAAACCCGTGCTTCGTGTTTCCTCTTCTTTTTTTAATTCCGTTTTAAATATAAATTCTTACAAATTTATCTCCAAAATTCATAATTGTTTTAATACGCATTCAGCTGTGTTTAAAGTTCACAAATATAGACACTCAATTAAAAGGTTAAGAAGAGTTACCCAACAGAATCTTTTGTTTCCTCCTCTAATTTTGTACTCATCTTCTATCTTACACCAAATTTAAAAGGGATAAGAATCTTCAAGCATAGGTGTTTGTGTTTGTTGAGTCTAATCTGTACCATTGATGCATGTGAGATGCAACTTCACTCATTCAGTGTATGTGAGTTGTTATCTGAGTTTGAGATTTTAATCAACACAATGATTTATGGCTACATTTTCAGAAATATATTAAATAAGTGCTATGTTCGAATTTGGCTTAAAAAGAGATACAAATGTAAAGAGAGACTAAAATCCAACCCAAAGGACTGAGCCCGAAGAGTATTTACATTACGTGATTAGCGTGTGTTCATACATTTGTTGGGCCGAAGACTTAAGTCGAGGATGGGCCCAAAGACATGAAAAGTCCAGTACCCACGTGAGGTTGGAGAGTGGATTTCTAGTGATTCCAGGAGGAGGGCTGGGGAATCGCTTCCCGGGATCGGACGGAACGGCGGGGTTGGAGCCACAGCTTCTCACCTGCCAACGCAACGTTTGGAAGTCCGGATAATTACCTCCTGTCCGACTGCACTACGCAACTCCAACACACAGAATTAGGGTTTTTCACTGCTCTTTCCTTCCCGCCCTCGTTAACCTGGTTAGCTTTTCTTATTTCCTAGTTTCTCCGATCCATACTGTTCCTGTATCTACCTGTTTAAGCCCCTGTCACAATCTTTTCCCTCCCTAAAATTCGCTGTTGGATTTGAATCAGGTCCATCCTAGATTGAATACCGCATCAATACGTCGCATTAGGCACATTCGATCAGTGAAGGGAGGCCATATCGTAGTCTCGAAGCCTTAGCGCCGCCCCGGTTAATCACTAGTTGGGGCTATTCTGACACTTGCCTTTCATTTTCCTTTTGTTTTCTTTCGTTTCTTTTGTAAGCTTTGTAGCAGTAAGCAATGGAAGAGGGGAAAAGTAAATCTAGGAGAGACGATTTGGAGAACCCAAAGAAGAGTCATCGGGACCGCGACAGGGAAAGGGATAAAGAGAGAAACGGTGATAGAGGCAGAGACAAGGAGAAGAGAGATCGTGAGAGTCGACGTTCTGAGAAGGAAAAGAGTGTCGATTCTGAAGAGCAGCAGTATGAGAGGGAGAAGGAAAAACTTAGAAGGGACAAGGATAAAACACGGAGTCGGGATGATGAAAGAGATAGAGCTAGGGTTAGGAGGAAGGATAGAGATAAGGAAAGGGACAAGGACAAAGAAGATAGGGGGAGGGAGAGAACGAGGGACAAGGAGAAGGAGAGGGACAAGGAGAAGGAGAGAGACAAGGAGAAAGAGAGAGACAAGGAGAAGGATAGAGAAAAGGAGAAGAGGGAAAGGGCAAGGGAAAAAGAGAGAGAGAAGAGAGAACGCATCAAAGAAGATCGTGAGAGGGACAGAGACAGAGAGAGGGAGATGAGAGAACGTGAGAGAGAGAGGGAAAAGGAAAGAGAGAAGGATAGAAGGAAGCGACGGGAAGTTAGCGATTATAGTGATGATGACTCTACTGACCATGGTAGGAAGCGACGTAGGAGAGACGATGAGGACCATAGAGCTCATGAAAGCAATAGCAGGATAAATAAGCAGAGAGATCACAGTGAAGAGAGTCCACGAGAGAAGAGTGAAGAAGATGCAACTGATAAGAATGAAACAAAACCAACTCGTGAAGAGGAGCTGGAAAATGAACAAAGGAGGTTGGATGAAGAAATGGAAAAACGAAGGCGAAGAGTTCAGGAGTGGCAAAAGTCACGAAGATTGAAGGAAGAAGCTGATGGAGATAAGCAGGGCGAACCGAATGCTGATGAACCGAAATCTGGCAAGACATGGACCCTTGAAGGTGAGTCTGATGATGAGTATGAGAATGCGAGACCCACCGAGGCAGATATGGATGTGGATGAAAATTCTAAGCCGCTTGTAGAAGGTGAGCAGGTTGCAGATGACTTCAACAATGGCAACGAAGCAGCTGGACCTCCACCGCAAGATAGCAGTAATGGTGATGCAGGCGATGAGGAAATTGACCCTCTGGATGCTTTCATGAACTCCATGGTACTGCCTGAAGTGGAGAAGCTAAACAAAATCGAGGCCCCCACAATTAATGACAATAAATTTGCAGAGTTGAAGAACAGAGACAAATCAAGTGATCAAAGTGGTGGTAAACCCCAAAGAAGAACTTCAAATAAATCAATGGGTAGAATAATTCCTGGTGAAGATTCTGACACAGACTATGGAGATCTTGAGAATGATGCAGATACTGTAGAAGATGAAGATGATGACGAGTTCATGAAAAGGGTCAAGAAGACAAAGGCTGAGAAGCTCTCTATTGTGGACCATTCAAAGATGGATTATCAACCTTTCCGAAAAAACTTCTATATTGAAGTGAAGGAGATAACGAGGATGACTTCTGAAGAAGTTGCTGCTTATCGGAAGCAACTGGAATTGAAGATACACGGAAAGGATGTTCCGAAGCCTGTTAAAACCTGGCATCAAACTGGACTTACGAGTAAAACTTTAGAAATGATTAAAAAACTTAACTATGAGAAGCCAATGCCGATACAAGCTCAGGCATTGCCAATAGTCATGAGTGGTCGAGATTGCATAGGTATTGCCAAAACTGGATCTGGAAAAACACTTGCATTTGTTCTTCCAATGCTGAGGCATATCAAGGATCAACTACCTGTTGTACCCGGTGATGGTCCTATCGGGCTTATCATGGCTCCTACCAGAGAGTTGGTCCAGCAGATCCATAGTGATATAAAGAAATTTTCAAAGGTTCTGGGTCTAAGGTGTGTGCCTGTATATGGCGGTTCTGGCGTTGCCCAACAAATTAGTGAGCTTAAGCGTGGCACTGAAATAGTAGTTTGTACTCCTGGAAGGATGATTGATATACTCTGCACTAGTGCAGGGAAAATAACAAATCTGCGTAGAGTTACATATTTGGTTATGGATGAAGCTGATAGGATGTTTGACATGGGTTTTGAACCTCAGATTACTCGAATTGTTCAAAATATTCGACCAGACCGTCAAACTGTACTATTTTCTGCTACTTTTCCTCGTCAGGTTGAAATTTTGGCCCGCAAAGTGTTGAACAAGCCTGTTGAAATACAGGTTGGTGGAAGGAGTGTTGTGAATAAGGACATCACACAGCTGGTTGAAGTGAGACCCGAAAATGAGAGGTTCTTGAGACTGTTAGAGCTATTGGGAGAATGGTATGAGAAGGGCAAGATTCTAATTTTTGTCCATTCACAGGAAAAATGTGATGCCCTTTTTAGGGATCTCCTTAAGCATGGTTACCCTTGCCTCTCACTCCATGGAGCCAAGGATCAGACTGATCGTGAGTCTACCATATCGGATTTCAAAAGCAATGTGTGCAACTTGTTAATTGCAACTAGTATTGCTGCCAGGGGTTTAGATGTCAAGGAGCTGGAGCTAGTGATCAATTTTGATGTTCCAAACCACTATGAAGATTATGTTCATCGTGTTGGTCGCACAGGTCGAGCTGGTCGTAAAGGGTGCGCTATCACATTTATTGCCGAGGAAGATTCAAGATATGCACCAGATCTTGTGAAAGCATTGGAACTCTCCGAGCAAGTTGTTCCTAATGATCTGAGAGCACTTGCTGATAGTTTCATGGCAAAGGTTAATCAGGGACTGGAGCAGGCCCATGGAACTGGATATGGTGGCAGTGGATTCAAATTTAATGAGGAAGAAGATGAAGTGAGGAGGGCAGCAAAGAAAGCGCAAGCTAAAGAATATGGTTTTGAGGAGGACAAATCAGATTCAGAAGACGAAGATGATGGTGTCCGGAAGGCAGGTGGCGATATCTCACAGCAGGCAGCTTTGGCCCAAATAGCTGCTATAGCAGCTGCCACTAAAGTCAGTGCAGCTTCCATCACAACTCCCAGCTCTGCTGCTCAGCTACTTCCAAATGGCGGATTACCCGTTTCTCTGCCCGGTGTTCTTGGGCTTGCAATTCCAGGAACAACAGCAGTTATTCCTGGTGCAACATTGCCTGCAGTTGCTAATGATGGGGCCGCTGCAAGGGCAGCATTAGCAGCTGCAATGAACTTGCAGCACAACCTGGCCAAGATTCAAGCTAGTGCAATACCTGAACACTATGAAGCAGAATTGGAAATTAACGATTTTCCACAGAATGCTCGATGGAAGGTAACCCATAAGGAGACTTTGGGCCCAATTTCAGAGTGGACTGGAGCTGCTATTACTACTAGGGGGCAGTTCTTCCCACCTGGCAAGATTGCTGGACCTGGAGAGCGCAAGCTATACTTGTTCATTGAAGGTCCAACTGAACAATCTGTTAAGAGAGCTAAAGCTGAGTTAAAACGCGTTCTTGAGGATATTACAAACCAAACATTGTCACTTCCCGGTGGATCACAACCAGGCAGATACTCAGTTGTTTAAGTGTGAGAACTTGATCTTTACTTTGAAGGCATGGTTTACTTGAATCCCTCTACTGCTGGAAATATGCACGTTTCACGTGCTTTTCCTCCTTTTCTTTTTTGCTGTTTTCAAATTGAGAAACAAAAAATCTATTAGCTTAGCCAGGAGCGTTGTATTCTCTCGATTTCTAATTCTTCTTAGCCTTCTAATATCTTGTATAATTTTGGCTTAGATGTAAGATAACATTAATATACATATTTAAATGTTCTCCTCTTTTGATTTTTGTTCTGTTTTTCTTTTCCTATGGTGCGAGGGATGTTATATACCATACCTAGATCGCATGTTCAATATTGTCTCTTCACTCTTACCTTGCAATAGTGGCTATCAGATGCAATTATGGTGCGCCACCCTTTGCGTCAGTGTTCCAGACATCCTTGCTCAATTTGATCAATGCTCCAGCGGGGCGATATTGTTACCATATTTCATCTATTAGAGTCTATTATCATTCTTTTGGGTTTATTTGAATTTTCTTTTTCCTTTTTCCAGGTTTAATTCAGAATGCTGCCGCCAATTGGTTTTCTTCCTTGATCTTCGTGATCTGATTTTCAGCTGGGATGTTGAAAGTCCTCAAGTTGGTGCCCTCAAGTTATAGAAGGTCACGGTTATCATATCTGGTTTATGAAATAATTCATATCTTGAATTGTTGATCGCCCATACAAGTATTGTATTTCATAATTTAAATATTTCCAGTTTTCAGAATGTTGCCTTTTATCTGATCCTTAGATTCTTAGACGTTTCTACCAATTTGCTGTGCTTGTCAAGAATCTCTAACCTCATTGTGGTAGGCAAACTTGCGTATTTTTGGGATCCTATCATTTGTTGAAATTGTTCTTTCCTTTCCGTTCTCTTTGTTTCCCATTTCTATGCTAGGAATAGTATTGTGAGTGGATTGTTTTTTGTTTTGTTTTGTTTTGTTTTGTTCTGTTCTGTTCTGTTCTTTTTAGAAAACTCGAGTAGAAAGAATAATGGGTGAGCTCCGGGAACCATATTTCTTCCTCTACTTTATACCGAACTACCTAGAGAATGCCAAAATAAGAATGATTGATCGTTTCGTACTTAATTGAAATGATCGAGCGCAAATTTTGTCAACCACAGGCATTTGTGATTGCAGGTTTGTGAAATCTTGGGAAAGCCTATGCCAAACCCTGCTCGGACGGAAGCAATTAAGGAGGTGGTGGGAGGTCTATAGTCGGGTTTATGATTCCTGCCCGGATGGCCTCCCTCCCAGAGGAGAGTAGTCAGAAAGTCCTTCCTTATCCTTCTGAATATTTTGGTTGTTTCCACTATGAGATAATGGTTTTCCTTGTAGGCTCCTTCTTATGCAGCCAAGCGATGGAAGATGATTTGAATCATTTGGGCTTCACATTGTTGTTCATGGAGGAAGCCTGCGTCTGGAACGGCGTTGTTCTTCAAGTGGGTAAGCGTATGGATCCGTTGTTGTTCCAACTTGCTAAGTTAGCTGGATGGTCTTGCATGAAGTCCTACGATTAGTCACCGTTGATTTGTTTTTGTTCTTTTAGTTGGTTTGCAAAGTTCATTGAAAATAATTAAAATTGAAAATAATTGATGCCCAAGTTTTCTTTTATAGTCATTGTTCGTGTGAGGTCACATATATTAAAAATCATTAGGGAGAAGATTTACTCCCTTTTAAACGATAATGATTATTTTAGTTGTGGTTTTCAAAATTTTTCATCCATTTTTTGTTAACTTGAATCTTTTATTTTTTTAATTCACACACAAAGGAGTTTGTATCCAAGCTCGTGTGACATATGATATTCTTTAGATCTCATTTAAAATCATGTTCAATATAAATACCTATCATGCATGACATGGACATGAATCTTTTAAGCATACGCATATGACAAGATATAAAATTACTTTACCAATTGAATAGACATTAATGATTGATAGTCATGCATTTTTTAAGCATGCGTATATGACAGGATATAAAATTACTTTACCGAATAAATAGACATTAATGATGGATAGAAGATTAAAAAACAAAATCATTTGGTAATAAAATTACTTTACCAAAGGAATAGACATTAATGATGGATAGAAAATTAAAAAACAAAATCATTTGGTAATTTGGCGTAGACATTTCTTTTTTTTTTTTTTTTGACATTTGACATCAAGACAGACAATAATTAAGATTATAAATGTGACACTTATGGTTGCTATGAAAAAAAGTGGCATGACATGTGAATTGTATGTGTGAATTGTATGTGCCATTATGAGTATGTGAGTTGAATATTCATTAAAAAAACATGAATTAATTTTAATAGTCACTGTTCAAAAAAAGAAATAAAATATGAAAAGCACAGTAGATGATTGGACGTTTAGGTTGGAAGAGTAAATGAGAGAAGTTTGTTAGCGTGTAAAAGAGGTGCATGGTTTGATTACCACATTTAAAATTAATTAGTGCAGTAGATATAATAAATGATTTGAGTTAAAATTCAATTTTCCCTTTCTCTGTCCATCTACCTAATCTCTTCCTCGCCTATTTTGTCCCATACTATTTCATTGATTGGTTCTACATTGTCGGTGGAGAGAAACCATAAGATCAAACTTCATTTAATTGTTTAATTTATTAATATTTTAGCAGGATAAAAAATAAGAAGAATACATATGTATATTAAATATTAAATATTAAAGATTAAAGATTAAAGATTAAATATTAAATATTAAATATTAAATATTAATGACAAAAAAGAAAAAAAGTAGGCGACAATCGAAGTCCAAATTGGGTTTCCCCTGCCCCGCAGCCTTTTGATTAATATAAGAATAAACCCACTGTCCCGCAGCCTTTTGATTAATATAAGAATAAATTTGTTTAAAAAAAGGAAAACCAAAACGGAAAAGGAATCTACGGAAACTTTGGAAACGTGGCAGAAGAAACGTGGGGATTTGACACAGTTTAGGTGTTTTTTCTTTTTTAAGGAGCGAGAAACTTGTCCACGCTTTTTCAGCGTGAAGGTTTGATCCTTGCAGTGGACGACACCAGCTTCCGATCTGCTTCTTTTAAACCAATACCACCATACATTTTTTTTTTGACAAATCCCCTCCACCATTCCCTTCTTCCTTCCCCTCAATCTTGTCGTGTTCAATCTTTCACCCTCACACCAAGCCTGGAACCCACCCCCGCCATGAACTTCCTCAGCCTCTTCATTGCCGCTTCCATTCCTGTTCTGAAAGTGCTTCTCATTACAGCGCTTGGCTCTTACCTGGCTCTCCCACACATCAACATCTTGGGCCCGGACGCCAGAAAGTATCTGAATGAAGTTGGCACTCTTATTCCCTTTTCCTTTCCTGCCTCTATCTTCCCCTTCCTCGATTCATGCTTTCTTTTCCACAGGTCACTTTTTACGTCTTCAATCCCGCGCTCGTCTCCTCCAACCTTGCTGAAACCATCACATATCACAGCATGGTCAAGATGTGTGTGTTTCTGGAAATGATTTCCGATTTGAATTTCACACATCTGTGCCTCCTCCTCAAAATTGAATGCTCTGTTGTGTTTGCACAGGTGGTTCATGCCTTTTAACATCCTCATTACTTTCGTTGTGGGATCTCTATTTGGTTGGATTGTGATTCAATTGACCAACCCACCTCCTCATCTCCGGGGTCTCATTCTGGGGTGCTGCTCCGCTGGTACAACTCCCCTCCCCCACTTCCCTTGTTTCCCATCATATTCTCTGTTTCAACCTAAACCCACGGGGCTTTGCTTTTCTTGATGATTGAACAGGAAATTTGGGCAACATTTTTCTGATTATATTACCCGCGGTTTGTAAAGAAAAGGGAAGCCCGTTTGGGGCCTCCGACGTCTGCACCACTTATGGATTGGCTTATGCTTCACTTTCAATGGCGGTGTGTTCCCTTCAAATCATTCTATTTTCATATGTTGTGAGGTTTTGCGTAATTGTTTGTTTATTAACTCAACTGTAAGCTCCTTTGGTGATGCATTTCAGATAGGAGCCATTTTTTTATGGTCATTTGTATACAATATTGTTCGAGTGTCTTCAAGGAGGCCCGCCGCTGATCCCAGGTTTAATGACTTGCCCATCAGTGCTAGATGCTCCGAAGCCTCGTTGATAGAGGAGCCATTGATTCACAATCAATCCCTTGACGATGATGACGACTCTTCTCAGAAATTATTAGTTTTGGAGGACGATGAAGTCATCTTCTCTTCGGAAGCGAAACATGAGGTGTTCTTTGGAATGTTTCTTCTTGCCCATCATTGCTTTCATTCTCATTTTAACATTTTTGGAGTTAAGTAATATAACACGTTATACAAATGCAATGGCAGGTTTCTGCTGCCGTCAGAATAAGGACATTCATCGAATCGCTTAATTTGAAAGCATTGTTTGCCCCTTCAACAACTGGAGCGGTATGTGGTGACATGAACCGAGTATTCATATCTGATATAAACATTCCAACATACTCATCATGCTCTTGTCTCTATACAGATAGCTGGCTTTGTGATTGGCCTCATCCCTCAACTTCGAAACTTGTTGATCGGTGCGGATGCGCCTCTGCGTGTGATCGATGACTCGGCTGCCTTGTTGGGGTATCAAATTTTCTTGAAACAATGTTATGCTCTCTAGTAGCATTGTAAGCAGATCACCCAATATTCATCTTTTAGTTTGAGGATTTTAAATGCTCCATGTGACTGCAGAGATGGAGCCATTCCAACTGTGACACTAATCGTAGGAGGGAACCTTCTAAGAGGTACAGCAACGGAAGTATATGAATATAAACCAGCTATAGTCTCAAAACTGGAAGAGGGAATATTATGCATTGTTTTGGTGAATGTCCAGGTTTGCGAGGATCGGATTCGGAGTTGAAGAAATCCATCGTCGTCGGTATTGTTTTTGTTCGTTATGTTGCACTGCCTCTGACCGGAATTTTGATTGTGAGAGGAGCTGCAAACTTTGGTTGGGTGGGAACCGATCCCTTGTATCTGTTTGTTCTTCTGCTTCAATTTGCAGTTCCCCCTGCAATGAACATTGGTAAAAAAACATAATACTCTGCCTGTTGGCTGCGAATTGTGTATGTTGTTATTGAAAACCAATGGTATTTTGCATTCAGGAACAATCACTCAATTGTTCGGAGCAGGAGAGGCAGAATGCTCCGTCATTATGCTGTGGACATACGCCTTAGCTTCAGTTTCGCTCACACTTTGGTCCACCTTCTTCATGTGGCTCGTGGGTTGATTGATTCTCCATCAACAACGGCAACAAAACTTCATCAAACTTTTGTCCTCAGCATCTAACGCCATGTCCACCAGAAATGTAAGAGCTACTTAGAGATAGGCAGCATGCGCGTATAGTAAGTAGGCTCTTTACAACAAACCTTTTTGTGGTTACATTTATTCATTCATTTATAAGTAATAAAAGTTACATTTCAATGTGGTCTTTACATTACAAAGCTTTTAGTATTTATAGGGCCTAAAAGATAAAACTCTCGAGGACATCACACAGAAACAAAAAAAGCAATGCCCCACACCACTGGTCAGCATCTCAGCTATTTTGTTTAATGAATTTAATAAGTTTTAGTGGCAGTGGTTGTTGATTCTTTCAAAAAGATGAAGTTGGGTAATGTTAAAAAGTCTGTGGCGGTTGATTCTATCTACAAAATAAACATTTGTTAATGGGCACATTAGTGGATTGTGGGACACCAAACCAAACCAAACCAAACCAAACATCATCCATTAGTAACTCAAAAACAAAAACAGAACAGATAGAGACATTAGTAATTTTGTCATACAAAATAGCTCAAAAGCCAGTCATTTTTGCTTGAGAAAAGCAACCATTCTCCTACCAAAAGTTAGCCAAATCTTCATT